ATGTGTGAATTCAGGGAAGGAGGGCAGAAACTGAGTTTGAAAGACAAGGGATAACTCAATTTGCAGCCTACAGCCTGCAGGAGCTGCACTTCCTGACAGGAGCAAAACCACTCTCACCTATCATCCATTCTGAAATTGCATTGCAAAGCTGCGTCTTGGACTCGTCAGCACTGAAACATGACCTTGGGAAACCGGAACAGAAGCAGATATACAAGGCCGGACTCAGCAGTGAAGAGAAAAAAATAGCGTTTAAGGAAAGAAAAATGACAACTCTATATACTTTTTAGTATATATACTTTATACTTTTTAGTTAAGAGATCATGGACACACTGTTCTTTTGAATAACAAAGTCTACATATCAGCCAAAGCAATGATTGCAGCTTTGAAGAGCCGGTAATTAAGGAAAGAGGCGAACCATTTGGCAAAAAAAAGGCTGAAAACATTTCTCCTTCCCCCTTTCTTTAAAGACGGTCATGTTAGCAAAAGAGAACGATCAGACAGACTGTTAGTGCAGATATTTAGAACAACAGGAGACAATAAAAGCCTGCACTGAAAAGTGAAAGAAAATTAAGAACCTGGGAATAAGTAAGTAAGAGAGAAGGCAGAGGTGAATTAGGTGAGGGCATATTCCTTGGGTGAAAGATAATAAAAACAGTGCATGACCCCATTTTATTGTTTTACTTACATTATTAAGAGCTTTATCATCCAGAAGACAAAGGCATGGACTTCCCTGGCTATCACCTGGTGATTCAATGCAGGGGTACCAGCCATGACACCCCAGTATCCTCAAAAGTTACAGTACAACTGATGGTTGGATATTAGGATTCCTGCAAGAATCAATTAATAGATGCCTGCACAGCACTCCGGAAATCTCTATTTATAGGGTAAGTATTAGTTTCAGATTACTCCCGTGGGGACGGATTTCTCCATCTCATTTCGCTGCTCCTGTGTTTTCTTTGCCTAGCTGTAAGCACTTTAATGAGGGCCTCCTGGTGGTGGCATCTGCGACAGTCAAGCAGGAGGGAAGCATCATTCTTTGCAGTGCAGTGAAACAGCTGTTCTTCTATCTCTTGAGTTGGCTGTAATGAAAAGAAGAAACAAATAGAGAAAAAGATGCATTTGCTTTGTCAATAAAATATAGGTGAGATATTTATTGTAATATCTAGGATACTAAAAGAAGGGACGTAATTAACTGCAGAGCACTGACGCAACAGGAATTATCTCACTGCTGAAAAAGTTAATTAGGCATGGAATTAATTTCAATATGCAAAAAAAAATTATTTTGTAGGTTTTAAACTCAGTTTCATTTAGGCCGCCAATCAACGTAGCAAGTTTCTAGCATCAATAATTACAGTAAATACTCTCTCTGACATCAGAGTAAGCCTGAAGTAAGTCTACAGAATTCACCAGTCAGTGGGGTTTCCCTCTAATTATTGATATAACAGAGAACAATAATAATCCCACAGCGTATATGAAAGAAGGCAAGAGAAACACTATGGAGTTAAAAGCAGCTCTGAGACCATCTAAGCTATAGATCCTGTATTGCTTGTGAACCGAAAAAGCCGAAGAAGATGCTCCAGATCAGGCTACCAAGAACAGCTCGGGTCTATTCCAAAATTTCCATACTGTCATGTGCTACAGCTCTATCTTTTGTCCTGTCACTCTCAGCCTTCCACCAGCATTCCCAAAGATGTCTTCATAAAGAGATACGCAGTTTCCTTACACAGTGGCTGCAATATGCAGGTTCCTCACTGTTTAATGAGCTTTTGCAGATCCTAAGTGATATCTCTAGTTATTGTACTGGGAAAGAGGGCGTGTGCTAGGTGTTCGCTTCCCCACAAAGTGACAGGCACAGAAGGATGCACAGTGCTACACCGTAATGCTTTTAACATCGCTTAAAATCACATGTCAAACTACCCGCTGGCAGGAGAACAATGCACCATATTGAGAGGCAATCCTAGAAACAGCAATGGTCGGCTCGTCTCAATATCTGCCTGACGTAAGCGGAGAAATAACCACCAAAAGCTACTGCCAGAATAGCGTGGGAGGTCGGTGCAGCGAGGAAATTCCACAGCATTTTTCGAGGAAATGGAGTCTGGGAAGAAATGAAATTTAGTAAAACCATGCAAAGGAAGAAAGATTCCTGAAGCAAATCACACTGAAAATCAGGAACTGAACCTCCTTCTCTTGCTCTCAAACTTCTGGAGAAGCATTCTGAACCCTCATTCACAAGCCCTACCATCTGTGAAACCATTCACGTACATGTTGGCATCCGTGCACGCAGCAGCACGCACTCACCTCACGTGCCAAGGTGGAGGGGATTGGCTGCCTGGCTTTTTCCAAACCTCTGCCTTGGAGAAAGAGGCTGTCAGAGATTCTCTCTGTCAGCGAATCGTTGTGAGATCCTGGATAATTTAGTTTTACAATAATTATATTACTACAATACTCATCCTGCTTAGTGCAAGGAGAACTCAAGCACACAACTGTGCTGAAACACACGGGTTTCTTCTAGGAAGATGAACATTACTACCCTTGTGTTACTGACGGAGCACGTCCTGACCAGAGCTTCTTAACCTCTGGGTCTCCCCCACCCCCCCAATAACAAACGCCTGAAGTATTTATAAAGGAAGCATATGTGCCTTTGTCTTTGAGCATCTCGGGGAGATGCTTCTCTCATCTGGAGCTCTTCAGGTCTGAGTACTTGTTTGGAAACTCAAAATTTTTCAGTGCATTTAACAACTAAAAAAAAAAAAAAAAGCAAGCAAGCATTAAGAGCTCAGTTCCTCACTATCCCGTATGGTCTTTGACTCTTATAAGCACCTAGATTAGCTACAGTTTTTTTCAGTTCAAAATTGTAATTCTACATTCTCCCAGCTTTTCTTCCAAGGTTCTTGCCCTTCTTCTTTTCATCTTTCTTATCCAATATATGCGCACGCACACACATATGGATGTTAAATGCCGATAAGAGCCACAACTACCTCACAAAGCCCTTGTTCAGAACTGCAAGTTCTTGTTCTACTTTTAAGGGTGTTGTTCCCCCCCGTGCCCTGTAATCCCTTCTCGTATAAAAAAAAAAAAACAAACCACTAATTTCCAGTGCACAGACTCCAGAACATGGTGTCAAAAGGCCACTGTTTTTATAGCATGCGTCCTGGAAGAATCAGATACTGCTTAACTGGACTACCAGAAGATACTGCGGCACCAGAGATTTTTCTTGTCTACAGTCACCGGGTTGGTACTGTGGTATCTTTCCAGCTCTCATTCCAAGCGAGCAATTTTCTGGTTCACTTCAGGCAGAGCGCCCATTAAGCATTCTGGGAATGAAAGACTGTTAAAGAACTTTTTTGTGGAGTATTAATACATCTACAAACCAAATTAAAAGGTTGGCGATTCTCTTATTTTCTCCTCTCTTTCCCAGCACTTCTGTTTCTCTGGGGCCCCCCTCTTTTTCTTTTTTTTCTTTTCTTTATTGTTCCTCTTTAACTAAAGTCAGCATCCTAATATTTCATTAATGTAAAATTTTCAGGAAAGCCTCACAAAGTCCTCAACAGAAGCTTTTCTAACAACGAAGCAAGTGATTTCAGATCACTAAGTTCTAACAGACTGGAGAATTATTTTGAATTTTAGAAAAGGAGTGGTGTTTTGCCTCTCCAATATACAAAATACTGGTGCTATGTGCTACGTACCCCTGCTGTTCATTCAAAATATTGTCCAAACCAACGACCCAAGTCACCTCCCATGGAATACAAGCCAAAAACTAAATTTGTCCCATCGAGTGCCGAGAAGGGGGGAGTTTGCAACGCGCGCCGAAAATCGGGACGCCGGGACTGCGTCGGAGGAGAGCTTATGGCAGAACTGCCCGCTCTCCAGCCTCTAACCCACCGTGCCCCGAGCTCGGGGAGCCCAGAACCCCAGGCCTTCCCCACTTCTTCTCCCATGATCCCAAATAAGGGGGGATTCGCTGCCTAATGGCGTTTCATGTGCAAAAAAAAAAAAAACAAAAAAACAAACCAAAAAACCCAACATTAAAAAAAGCCTTCCAAGCAGTTCAAGCGTGTCAGGGACCGTGCGAGGAACCAGCGGGCAGGACATCCCAAGCCTGATGCGGCCCGACCGTGAGAGGAGCCCCGTCTCCACAGCACCGGCTCGCCCGGCCTCC